GTTGCCTCCTCCTTTGTTTCCCCTTCCCATCCCTGCCCTCCCCCCAACCCTAGCCAAAGTTGTAAAGTCTCATTGTTGCAATGGGTCCATCTGTATCCCTATTTAAACAATTTGTTTTTTCCCTTTCCCTCCACAATCCTTCTTTTTTTTTAAGGTGTACCCGATATTCTCTCTCTCTCTCTCTCCCTCCCTCTCTCTCTCTGCCAATATATGCATGTATGCCAGGATTACCTAGGATTTGACTCTGGGCTTGGGAGCTGTCTGTGAATTTCTTTCACTGAGTGCTCTACCACTTAAACTACAGTATCACTTCTGGCATTTTGAGTAGTTTATTGGAGATAAGAGTGTTATGGAGTTTCCTACCTGGACTGGTTTTGAACCATGATTCTCTGATCTCAGCCTCCTGAGTAGCTAGGATTACAGGCCACTGGGGCCTGGTTCCATTAGCTTTTTTGCTCAAGGAAATAACAGCTGAACAGCTTGATGCTACCAGCTGCATGGTCTGGGAATACATGCCAGCATTAGATGTGGTACTGGCAGGAAAGGAAGGGGTCTATGTAATGATTGTACATGTATATTTAACAATATTGCTCCCAATGGCGTTGTTAACTAAGGCATTCCACAGCTTGACTGCTTCGGCTAATGAGTTGGCCAAAAGTTCAGGAGTAGATGACCTTTCACCAACTTATGGAGTGGAAAGGAGTTCAGGTGGAAGGAGTTAGAGCCTCCACCTTGATTTTATTAGTGATAGTCTGTAAGGTGCAAATTTGAATAAGGTGCTCTCTAATCCTCTGGGGACAAGTCCAATGAGGGATTATAGAAATGCCTTTTTTTTTCTTTTGATAATGTCTTGCTATTTACCCGAGGCTTGTTCGGAACTCTTGATATTCCTGCTTCTGGCTCTCTATTGCTGGGATTTCAGGTGCGTACCATCATATCTAGCTAGCAATATCACATATGTAACAATATTAATGATGGCTCAACCTGTTCCATTAAGTCTTATTCCTTGGTGCTAAGTATTATTCTTTCCATTGCTTGTTCTATATGATAGGGCCTAAAGTCTTCTACAGATCAACCTACCAAGTTATTCACACTTGACTTGAATTTCCTGGGATTTCATTTTCTTTCAGGACAAAGAAAAAACTGATTTCTGAAAGAGTTGGTAATTGAGGCTCCTTAAACTAACAGCACTTATCTGTACAGCTCAGCCTGCACTTAAATAGCCTTGGCATATTGGCACAGACTGGGTAAGGAGACAGCAGTTGGAACAGCAGGCTTATCTGAAGGCAAAGGTTATTTGCTGTTCACAGTGCAAATGGGGTGAGTATGAGTGCAGAAATCCAGCACTGCATACCAGGCTGTGCAGATGGTTAGCTTCATGGTGGGACCAGGTTCTACACACATGGTCAGAGCTGTCAGCCAGGATTGCTAATGTAGGCAGGGTAACCCGTTCTCAAGACCCCAACAAAAGGGCTTATAGTGAAAGCCATGTGTCGGCTGTGGCCAGCACTGGTCTGCAGAGTTGAAAGGCCGAGCGCCATGCATTGCCACACTAAGCCAACGCCCACAGGTTTGCGTCTTGCTCACGACATCAAGGTAGTGTACTGGTAACATGTACACTACTTTTTCCTTACCCTCTCTTGTCTTTATTCAGCTCATTTCGACCCAGTCCTACCAACCCCAGCACAGAGCTGCCCCTGACTGTCACAAAGCTTCGGGGATTTGGTCAGTTAGTGAAAGTGCTTGCTGATTGTGGCTATGCTGAGTGAGCATCTCTGTTCCCTTCTGTGTACATATGCATTTGAGTTCTCAAAGGAGGGGCTGGCTCCCTAGCTAGCTCCTGGATCCCTTTTCTTCCCTCTTTGGAAGATCTTGCCTTCCCTAGTTTGGTGGGAATCCCTGCTGGGAGGAGGTTGGGAGACAAGAGGAAGAACCACACCTACTGTGAACACTGCATAGATGAGTCAGCAGCAGGGCTAATGACCTGTTATCTGTTTCCATGGTCACGGCTGGGTCTCCAGATGGGGAACAGTTCTACATACTGGGATTATTGCATCACTGCTTAATGACTACCTGAGCTTCCCTGCCGATCACAGGATAGCCAGGGAACACTGCTGCTCTCCAGCTAGGAGTCCATCCTGCTTCCCCATCTCCCAAGACTTCATGTGGACGGTGCTCCTGCTGCCTCTCCAGCCCCAGCATGTCTTGGAGCCTTGTTGGAAGAAGGCCTCTTTGATGTGGAGCAGGTGCCCCTTCCCTTGGGTTCTTGGGGCACCTATAGGTCACTTGGTGATGAGAACTGCTCATGCAGGGGCATGGTGGTGGGTCCTGTATCTGTCATCCACCCTGGATGCTCTAGTGCTCTAGACTTGTGGTTCTCAGGGCTTGCACCGAGTCCTTTTTTGGCCAGTCCTAGAACTAAGGGCCTGGGTGCTATTGCTGAGCCATACCGCTACTCTAGCTTTCTGGTGGCTCTATGGTGACGAAAGTCTTATGACTTTCTGCCTAGGCTTGCTTCGAACTGTGATCCTTAGTTCTCAGTCTCCTGAGTAATTATTGTTATAGGCATGAGCCACTGGTACCTGGCTGTCACATTATTTACCTTTGTGTTATCAGAACCTAACTCAACACCCAGCTCCCAGCAGGTGCTTAAAAACTGTCGACTGAATGAAAGAGGAAAAATGGAAGAGAAACAATCTTTTATTAATTTATTGAGCAAAACACAAGTAGAACAATACAATGAGGCACTGGTCCTGTAAAGAAAGCAATGGCATTTTGGAGACAGGGTTTCTCCAGGCAGCCCAAAGCTGACCTTGAGTCGATCTTCTCCTGTTTCCAAGATCACGAATGCTGGGATTACAGGTACGAATCACCACACTCAGCTAAGTAATGGTGGTGTTACAAGACTTCTTTCAAATCTGTGAACATGCTAGCAGTGAAATAAGTGCTTTTTTTATTCTTCCCATAGAACAGATTTCCAAACAATAATCACAGTGTTAAGGTTATTAAGGTGTTGGATAGATTGAATAGCCAAAGAATGTTTGAAAAACAACAAAATCTCAACAATATATCAAATGAGATATCAGGAGAATATGTGTTTGTAGCGACATGGCTAAACATGAGACATTACAGTAAGTCCTTGGAACTGGGAAGATAGCACTGTATGATGAAAAGGCTTTTCCAAGCTATCTAGTTAGCACACATTATAGACAAGCCCATTTTCTACTTGAAGCAGCTTATAGCACCAACACGTTGGCAGGACCAGCAGTGGGGCAGGGTCATTGAACCAAGGCATCTAACAACAGGACAATCTCAGCCATCCTCTACTTTCAGCACCTTGCTACAAAGGGGCTGGCAGGATCGGAGACATGAAGTGCCTTGTCCAAAGTAACACAGCACGTGATTGCCTAGAAAATGATGGAAAGCCAAAACCTAGGCCACTGACTTCACTAAGTGCTCTGTTTAAATACACACATATAATTCGACTTAATGTATTTTTCCATAAAAGAAATCAATACAATTCACAACAGACTCTGATATTGTATTCGCCCCCTTGGGGAAGGACTGGTAGGTACAATTACTTCTTGGGCTGCATATATCTTAACTAAAATGCAGAACAGTCAATCAGATGGCACTACTTTAGTCTTAAGTATATGAGAAGGTACTGTCAGAGGTGATAACTTGGCACATCTTTTGCTATGTGAACTAATATATGCATCAATTTATTAAATCATTGGTATAAAGTTTTCTTTTTCCTGATAGTTTAAAGATTAGTGAAGTAGAAAAACAGTTCAAATTTGTAGAGAACAAATCAGGCCCTTCCTTTCAAAGAGAGCTATGGTAGTTTTCCTCATAATGTAAAGAATTTAAAAACGTGACTTTATAGAAAAAGAAAAACACATTTCACTATGATCCATGACTTGTGAACCACCTGGCGTATAAATTTTTTTTTTTCTGTTTAAAAAATGTGTTTTCTGTAAAATACTGTGGAGTCATGAGATTATTTTGTCTACTCTATCTTGCCATGGTCCTGAGGCCTCAACTGCACAGATATCTGGTGGCCTACTAGGGACAGAAGAAAGAATGTGCACTGTTAACAGAAGTGGCAGTTGAGACAAACTAAACACAGGCTGGGCATCTATTATTCCATAAGCTAATTGCTGCAGGTAGCTCGACTATGGCTACAGAATAAAGGTAGATAAAGAAAAGTGACCTCTGCCTATCATATATAAGGTATACATATATTACATTTTCTCACATAGACATCTAGTTATAAAGAAATCAATATTTGGCTATACATTTCCCTCTCTTGAGTCTAGCATCAAGGGATTCAATTCTGGTTCTTCATGACCATGCTTTCTACCTGGTTAGGAAGTGAGCTACTGGACATTTATACCCACAGCATTTATTTTCCCTGACCAGGGAAAAGAAATGAGATCTCTTGGGAATAGCAAGGCTATTTCTACGACTAGAAGCACATTAACAAATGCACAGCAAAACCAATCTGTTTCCTGTGAGGCCATACAGTATGTTTGAGTACTAAAGAATAAGCTAGGCTAGCTGCCAAAAGTGCCAACCTGATGGTGTAGTGAAATTTACGAAGGAATTCTGTAGTAAGCTGCGTTATAAATATTTAAAGCAGCATACTAAAAATTAGAAGTGAAGATAAGATTAGTGTTCTGGAATTATCAATAGAAAAATATGATTGTAAAACAAAAAGAGCGAGCTGGGCACCAGTGGCTCATGCCTGTAATCCTTGTTACTCAGGAGGCTGAGATCTGAGGATCATCGTTCGAGACCAGCCTAGGCAGGAAAGTCCTTGAGACTTAGCTCTAATAAACTACTCAGAAAAAGCCAGAAGTGGTGGCTCAAGTGATAGCAAAAGAAGCTCAGGGACAACACTGAGGTCCAGAGTTCAAGCCCTAGGACCAGGGGCGGGGAGGGGGGGGGGGGGAGTATTTCATTAAGTGAAGCACTAATGTCAAAATTGTCTTTCTAGAGAACGTTTCTGATTTCCACTTTTGAAAGGTAAAAGCTTTCTTCTTCCTAGCCAGGTCCCTATAATTTGCTGGGGAAGTGAGCACATGGCAGAAGCAAGGGGAAGGCAGTGCTAGGGCTTTCCCAAGTTTACTGTGTGACTCTCAAGACTGCCAAGCAGATGAGGGACCCAGAGAATATTGAGAATCTCTGGGCCTTTGTTCCCCATCAACAGCATGGTATTCAAAGCTTTTTAAAAAGGATTGCTTTTCAGGGCATAATATGTAAGGAAAGGAAAAGTGTTGTAAATATCTCTTTCTGGGGATTGAATTCTTTTTAAGAATAAGTTTTAAATCCTTCACTAGTATTAACTTTAATAAATTGGGGAAAAAAAGTATTAAGGCTTAATGTATGGTTTGGGCCCTCAAAAGAACATTTAAAAAGAAGCCAGTCATTATATTCAATGTACGTTATACAAAAATTGAGTTAGGTAACTTGAGGGTATGAATGGGGGAGGGGGGTTGGGCAGAAACAATGGAAGGGCTGGCATTGATCAAGATGCATGGCACATATAACCTGACTTAGGGAACTGTAACCTCTTTGTACAACTACTTAATAATAAAAAGGAACCTCTCTTTTGCTGTGACAGGGTCACTATGGCCCTTGGCCATCAGACCTTTTGAGGATGCTACCTTCATGATCAGAGGGATGAATATTAGTCACTGGAAACTCTGGGCCAAGGAGTGCCCTCCACATACAAGTCCCCTCATAGCTCTGGAGGCCCACCCTCCCCTTGGGTGGTCTCTGGACAAGGCAGGGATGAAACTGAGGTTATCTGAAGAACAGCGGAAGACAGAGACATTAATGGGAGAGGAAAGATCCAAGGCAGGTGAGGGAGAAGACAGAGGTTGACGTGCAGAACTGGGTCAAGCAGAGCAGCAGGTTGGACATATTTCTGCTACTATCTTGGTTGCACTCATAGATCACTGTCTGTCTCATTCTAATCGCCAGGGTAGAAATTTTAGGTGTTTCCCTTGAATTCACCGGAGACCACGAACCCTGCAGTATAGATGCCTTGGATCCTCCCAAGGGCCTTCTCTCCTTTTCTAGACTCAGGATCACTGAAACTCAAAAGGGTCTCATGGATGAATACCATAGCAAAGGGCTTCAGTTTAGCTTTTAATGTTTAATTGGTATGGTTTATCAGAGGCTGAGAGCTCCAGCTAGATTTCAAGAAAGAAGAGTTGACTGTTATACTTGATTACAATTGAACACAATATCCCTAGGGGGGTCTTTCTTTACTTGGTATACAATAAATTTAAGGAAAGAATTGTTTCTTCTACCTAAACACAGCTCAAGAAAAATTGATAACTTATGGAATTAACTGATATTAAAGAGAAGTGTGTCTTAACAGGAAAGTAAGCATTTGCAATGATGTACACATACACAGTACACCCCTCCCCCTCGTACACTGTACAGCTTGGCACAAACTTTATTAAGAGCATAACATAATACAAAGGGTTTTCAGGACTGAAGTAATTCTTGGCCTTTTAATTTGACAGTTGCTTAGGCAATTTAGGTCTTGACAAATCAGAATCAATGGTATATTTAAAGGATGTAATTATATTCTTTAAAAGGCCCAGGCCAACTTTATATAGTAATCTAGTAGAATACCATAGTGGAAAACAAGATGGTTATTCTGTATGAAATCAGCAAAGGTATTTTAAGGACAGGGCAACTTGGCAAATAAAGACTTCAGAGTCCATTATTCCAAGTGAAGAACATTTTAGTTATTAGCAGTGGTTACCAGACAAGCTGAAGGCACAGCTCTTCGAGGAGCTGCTCGTAATTTGCTTGTTGAGAAGAGGTGAGGAAGGAGCTGGTTCCCTATTGCACTATAAGATGGTGCAGGTTTTCTTATCCTTGAAAGGGTTTTCGGAGGTTGGTATGCCTATCAGCAGAGGGTCACTCCTGGCATGCTCCTCACAGTAGGACATGAGGTCTGCTGATGCCTTTGAGACCTGGCATGGATATAAATGGAAGCAAACAAGAAAGAGAAGACTTTATTTACAAAGCAAAAGACTGGGTTTGAATGAAGCTCCTAGGTGCCTTGACACAGATGTAAACAAGAACATCAGTGTCAAGAGCATTATCAGTCTCTGAATGCTTGTCAGGTACAAAGGGAAACACAATCCGACATGTAAAACCTTCCTTAGCAGGTGATCATACTGAACAGTGATCAGCAAGCTGGCGCCATGCATTCCCACCTCATGTGAGGACCAGTAACACACCACCAGTTAGCTAGCTCGAATTCCTATGTCATAATAGCTAAGCAGATAGGTGCTGGTGGCTCATGCTTATAACCCTAGCTACTCAATAGGCTGAGATTTGAGGATCATGACACTCATTTCCAATAAGATACTCAGAAAAAGCCAGAAGTAGTGCTGTGGCTTAAGTGGTAGAGTGCTAGCCTTGAGTACAAAGAGGCTCAAGAACAGTGCCCAGGCCCTGAGTTCAAGCCCCAGGACTGACCAAACCCAAAAACAAACAACACCCCCCCCCCTCCAGCTAAACAGAATTCAATCAGCAAAAAATTATACACTAAACACGAGTATTTCTGAATAAATAGCCTACTTCAAAAAATGGATGTGTGGCCAGGCACTGGTGGCTCACATCTATAATCCAAGCTACTCAGGAGGCTTAGATCTGAAGACTGCAGTTCAAAGCCAGCCTGGGTAGGAAAGTCCATGAGACTCTTATCTCCAGTTAACTACTAAAAAAACCCAAGCCGGGCGCTGGTGGCTCACGCCTGTAATCCTAGCTACTCAGGAGGCTGAGATCTGAGGATCGTGGTTCAAAGCCAGCCCGGGCAGGAAAGACCATGAGACTCCTATCTCCAATAAACCACTAGAAAACTGGAAGTGGCGCTGTGGCTCAAGTGGTAGAGCGCTCGCCTTGAGCTGAAGAGCTGAGGGACAGCGCCCAGGCCCAGAGTTCAAGCCCCATGACCGACAAAAAAAAATAAAATAAAATAAAAAATAAAAAAACCCAACCAAGGGCTGGGAAGGTGGCTCAGTGGTAGAGCGCTTACCTTGCATGCCTGAGGCCCTGGGTTCGATTCCTCAGCACCACATAAGCAAAAAGAAAAAAGCCAGAAGTGGCACTGTGGCTCAAGCGCTAGAGCACTAGCCTTGAGCTGAAGAGCTGAGGGACAGTGCCCAGGCCCAGAGTTCAGGCCCCACGACGGGCCCCCCCCCCCCCCCCAAAAAAAAAAAAAAAACCCCAACCAAATAAAAAAACAACAAACCAACAACCTGGAAGTGGAGCTGTCGCTCAGTGGTAGAACACTAGTCCTGAGAATAAAAGCTCGGGCATAGTGCCCAGATCCTGAGTTCAAACTCTAGGACCAGCACACATACACACACACACACACACACACACACACACACACACACACAAACAACAAAAAAACAAAAAATGGATGTGTGAAGTATTACAATTATTAGATAATTTTGAAATTCAAGTGGTTTTCAAGTGGCTCAAAAAAATCTGCCTTTTGGGGCTGGGAAGGTGGCTCAGTGGTAGAGCGCTTGCCTTGCATGCCTGAGGCCCTGGGTTCGATTCCTCAGCACCACATAAGCAAAAAGAAAAAAGCCGGAAGTGGGGCTGTGGCTCAAGTGGTAGAGCACTAGCCTTGAGCTGAAGAGCTGAGGGACAGTGCCCAGGCCCAGAGTTCAGGTCCCACGACCGGACCCAAAAAAAAAAAAATCTGCCTTTTGCACAAGTGCAAAGAAACACACATGAGTGTATGTGTTAGTCAAATGTTAACTGGGGGGATATTGGTAAAATATGAACATTGGCTGGCATAGTTCTTCTGTAGGTATGAAAGTCAAAGTAAAAAAAAGCTGAGGGACAAGGAAGGACTAGAGTTTATGAATCAAAGGGAAGTTTATCATAGTTTCTATCCAAGGAAAATTGGTTGGGATGCAGAACAGAGTTTAAGAACTGAATTATGCACTTAAAATCAGCAACTCTAGAGCCAAATTGGTGAGCTTCAAGATTTATGGTTGGGGGTGGGGCCTGGGGAAATTAAAGGCCAAAAGCAGCATGAGAGGAAACCATGACTTAACTCTGGCAGGAGCTAGACATGGGAAACACTATACTCAGTTGCTGAGATTGGCTGGGTGGTGCCCCGAAGTGACCAGATCAGAAAGCTGAGGCAGGAGCATGGGACAGCCCGATGTGGAGACAGGCGCATGTAGTTGTCCTTTCAGACAGGTGACTTATCTCCAGGCCCAGAGGAATTTATCACGTACTGTTTCCATTTCTAGGAAACAGCATTAGTCACAACATTCCAGGGCTCTCACTGCCCAGTTATCTCCTGGGGATTGAAGGGGAAAAGACCTGAAAGGCAGGTGGTCTACGGAAATGGGCTCTGGCTCCTCTGTGGGATGTCCCTTCTATCTGGAATTACTAACCCTGGGGGCAGAAAGTGGTCACAGAGGGATATGCACCATTGCCCTGTTAGAACACAATGACCATAAGACTTGACCACCTCATGCAGAGAAGGAAGGCCTCAGGAAACCCTGGGCAGCGTTCCCACCGCCCACCCCCCTTCCCCCCCCCCCCAAAAAAAGGGGCTAACTCAGAGAGCTGGATCCTCAGTAGTTTTGAATGAAACCCTTGCTAGGTAGGAAAGGAAAATTACAGTTCTGAGACTTTGAGCCTGCTCTAGGAAAATCCCAAAAACCCAGTGAAATAAATGGCCTTATCTTCTCTGACTTGTGACCCGAGCTTCGTAGAGCAGGGGAACAGAAGGCACAGTCCATCCTGTCCAGCTTTACCTTTATTCGTTCAATGGAGGCTTCCAATCTTAACTGCTGCACCGTTCTCCTAGCCTGGGCTATGTTGTTAGTGCTTGCTGTTTTGCTGGACATCTTTGACGGCTTTTCCTCCCTGAAATCTGAAGAGAATTAAAAAAGAAAGTCGTTTAAACCTTCCTAAGAATTCGTGTGACTTGAGGGAAATGTATGTGTTTTCCAAATCATCACAGCTTCTCGGGAGGTTATTACCGAAATGTTCCCCAGCAGTTCTGGTCACAGCTTTGGTGTCAGTGTGGCATCCATTCGAACACCTATGTAATCTTTTAACACAGTCCCTGCATTATCAGTTTCATTAGCGCACCGCCCCCCCCCCCCAACATGCATCATAAAATGTGGCCTTTTAAAGAAAGGAGGAAACAAATATACATAAACATTTGCAGAAGTTAAGCTACACAACTTGGCAATTGTCACAAGAGGCCACATTATATGCCCTTTTTATATGACAGCTGCCTCTTTTAATAGAGGGCTTCGTTTTATGTCTTCTGTCTTCTGGGCTGTCTCATGCAACTATTAGCCTGATGCAGGTCCTAGCAACAGGAATTACTGAGAGATCCCTTCTCTATAGCACTTCACAGAGAGCACAGTTTTAGGCGCTATCCAGGCATGTGATCACTTTGGCTTTGTTAGGCAGCTGTACAAGTCTTTATTCAGTAAAAGTGAAGAACCTTCCTGCTGAAAGACTCTTTTGGTAGATCCACAGGAAACATCAAAGAAAATGCACCAGTAGCTCAAATCGTGAAATAATGAATGAAAAGTTATCATTCCTTCCTTTGACTCTCCTGGTCAACTCATCCTGATGGCCCAGGCTCTCAGTAAGCCTGTCACTCACACATGCTTGAGGACTGACTTCCCTCTCTGGGGTTCTAAGCTGCCCTGCTCTACCCTTTCCCCAGGTACCTGATGCAAAGCAGTGGAAAGAGCCTGGCCCTTGAGCTTTGACCTGTCTGGTTACCTATTCAGTGGCACACTTCCGGAGGAAGGCAGATTGGGAACAGGTGCTTCCTGGTGTCCCTGCCATATATGGTCAAGTTCGTGCTTGGTATGGTAGCAACTAGAGGGAAAAGCAGAGCTGGTAGGACTGGCAGCAGTGTGGTAGCCTTGTGACTCATGGGAGCAGGTGGATAGTAGGTGTGTCTCCCTGGTACTATGCGAGGGCTCAGCAGTCTTAGGGTGCCCTGGCGCCAGCGGCCAGCCAACCCAGGGTGACTCAGCCTTCTGGAGGGCTTACAACTGCACAAAGGCTTCCACCAGACCAGACTGCAGAAAACACCAGCAACCCACAGTCTCCACACAGTCCCACCGCACTCAGGATCCCCAAGGGCTGAATTCAAGGCCCTGGGTAGGACTGCATAGGAAGCTTTGGATCCATGTGTAAATAAAACTGCTCTTAGTTGTGTGTAGCACTTTGAAGTCAGCCTCACAGCAGGCTTCACATTCCTGGGTTTTAGCCTTGTTCCTGCTGATTACTAGTTGGGTGAAATCAGGCAGGTTGCCTCACCTCTCTGTGCTCAATTTTTCTTATTTGTAATATAAAGATACCATTACATCACTTTTTTTTTTTGGTAGGAAGATTCAAGTCACTGATGCACACACACCTGGGCTTTAGCATAGTACTAAAACACTCCACCAAGTGCAGTGGCTGTTATTTTCATCTTAGGGGGTCACTCACACCCAGAACCATGAACTGGAATTCCCAGTTTACCTGTCTGCTCTGTTTGCCCCTCCCTACACCTGCTCAATGAGCCTCAAGAGTTTGGACTGTCTGGGTGGGGCTTTGGGGATCAGCCCGTTTTGAGCAGGTCCTTAGGCAGTTCTGCCATACTCCAGTCTCTGAGCAAGAATGGAAGAACTGGTAATAGCCAATTGAGGAGTAAGGAAGATGTTGCAGAGTAGGAAACTGGAAGAAGTATGGAGCAGGGCAGGGTGGCCTTGTCTTGTCATAGGCCTTGGGTGACCTGGTTTCAACATACTCCCAGACTCCCTGTTCTTCTCAGATTCCTGTCATATGGCACCAACCAAGAACAAGACTAGAGTTTCCTCCTTGGGGTGGTGGTCCATGTGCAGTGCTTGTTTGCACAGCAAGTTGGTTATCTAGCCAAGTCCTACAGCCTGTTACAATGAACGCCCCTTCTAGAAGGTGGCCCATTCTGGGCCTCTAGTTCCTACAACATGAGCCTGGCAACTTCTCTAATCAGCCTGTGGTTTCCATGTTGCCCTCTCAGGATTTTCTGGATGTTCCCTTTGCATGAGACTCATGTCAAGCATTCACTTCTCAATCTCTAGAACATACTTTCCAGGCTGGCAAGTTCTCCTGTAACTGCAGAACAAGTCACATATATCAGAACTAGAGCAGCCATTGTTCCCCATCTGCATGGCCATACGCAATAAGGAGCAAGGTATGTAACATCAGGGTAGGTCTTTCTCAAAGTAGTGAAAAACATTGGCATCTAGTATACGGAAAGCTTTTCTCTTTCCCTACTGAATTACAAGCCATATTTCAAAGTGTTAGCTAGCTAGTAAGAACCAAAACTATAAAAATAGGGCTAGGAATGTGGCTTAGTAGTAGAGTGCTTGTTTAGCATGCACAAAGCCCTGGGTTTGATTTTTTAGTACCACATGCCCAGGCCCAGAGTTCAAACCCCAGGACTGGCAAAAACAACAACAGAATAGCCAGCAGTCCACAATTCATGCTAGTTCAGGTTTCTTGCAGGTTTGCATTCTGCATTCTTTACAGGGGACTATTGTCTTGCTACTTGCATAGCTGTCTTCCATCAGCCCAGGCTCTATAAGGCCCAAGTCAACTTATTTTCCCTCCCTCTTTCCCTTATTTCCTTCTCCACAGAGTCTTGCTGTATTACCAGGCAGATTCAAAACTCTTAGGCTTAAGTGATCCTGACTCAGCTTCCTGAGTAGCTGAGATTACAAGTACAAACTATTGTGCCTGGCCTATGAACACACACACACACACACACACACACACACACACACACATATGTATATATTTACTTATTATTTATTTATTGTTATTCCTGGAGCTTTAACTCAGGGCCTGGGTGCTATCCCTGGAGCCTCTTTGTGCTCAAGGTTAGCCCTTTACCATGAGCCACAGTATCACTGGCTTTTTCTGAGTAGTTTATTCGACATGAGAGTCTCATGGGTTGGCTTCAAACTGCGATCCTCAGATCTCAGCCTATGCATTCAGGATAGTTTGCTAGGACAGATACAGTGCCTAGCCTCATACAGACAAATGTACATGGAATTAGACATTTTCCTCCTCTGCTTTAAGGAAGCCCAGATCTCTCACTGCTTGCACCACCTCCCTTTTTTCCAGGCTCCTAATTCAACTACAGTTTCTTTGTTCAAAATCCCTTCCCTCTGCTGGTACATGAAGAACCCCATCTAGAAAGCTAGTTCAAGTTTCAGAGATGGGAGACATTTGAGACTTCATAGATGCAACCATCAATTTCTTAAGTGCAATCAGCAGTATACTGAACACTATATAGCAATAGCTTTAGGATATATGGGTTATTTGTGAGCATTCCTAGAAAATGCACACTGAGCCACTGGAAAGCAATATAATCTTTGATTCTAACTTGATTCCTACAGAGAATTAGGTCAAAATTCAAATTGAGGAACCTCTTTGAGGGTCTCCAAGTTCCCTGCTGAGCTGCCCAGCATCTGGGCCAGGGCTGCTGTTGTCTGACTCTCTGGGGGAGGGGGGAACTCTTGGTGTTGGCGTTGGCTAAGAAATCCCTTCCTCAATGCAGCTGCTTTGCACAGCCTCAACAGCTGGCCTGGGGCAGAACAAGACCATCTCTGCTCCTTGGGAGGTCCTGCTCTGGTCTTCCCTAAATGGTGAGGATGTCTGTCTGGCTGTTTGTGCATATACAGAACAGCCTCTAAGGCAAACACACCTGGTATTTGTATGGAACCCAAGAGCTCATGTTGCTTTCCTATGCATTTCTCCTGGAAGCATCACTACAATCCTGCATGGGTGCTACCATTCCATCCTTGTTTTACAGAGGGGGAAGCTGGTATTAGCAGCATGGGCCTCAGGGTGTGCACCTTGAGCAGCTTGAAGCCTTGTCCCCCCCCCCCTCCCCCTAAGCCTCTCTTTTTGTTGTTCCAAGGAAAGGGTGTGATTCCACTCAAGGTGATTCACAGCCACTCAGGGCATCAATGGACATTTCACAATGTGATTCTTAATCAGGAGTGACTTTGATACTTTGTGATCTATGGTTGGGGGCTCCCTGATTGCCTTCAGTTTATGTAACACCCTTTCTGGAGCTGAAGGATCTTGTCTGTTTATGTATCTTATCTTTTCTCTTATATGTGAGCCAGCAGAGAACATTCTCTGTAGCTCCCAGGCAAGGACCTCAGTGCTCGCCTGCTTAGCAAGGTCAAGGCCAGTGTGAGCTTGAGCTGACAACCATCTGCCACCTGCTGAACCGTGTTAGCACTTGGTCAGCCTTGCTTTCAGTTTTACACATGGGTGACATATTTGAATACACATGTAGCCTTGAGCTAGTCAAATCATTTGCATTGGTTTTAACTCCGTGGTTCATCTGAATTCTCGGGTTCCCAGAAACTCCTAGGAACAAGATGTGTCATTAGGGAAATATAAGCATTTTAATCTTTGTAGAGAGGCTGAGAGCTGAAGAGGAGGGTGTGGCTGGGAAGTGTCACCAAGCACACACTAGGAGGAAGGCACCAGGAAGTCTCAGGGTCTGAATGACAAGCCATCATGGCCTGGCTGATAAATGAATCACTGGAGAGAAGCCAACTTTCAAAAGCACCCCCTTACCTCTTGTGGTTGTAATAAAAGACCAAGTTAAAAAGAAAGCCACAGGCTTCTTTCCATTTACCCTGTAGTCCTTGTCTACAACTTCCAATGTCTGACTAGCTCTCTGTGGGCCCCTCATCTGGGGACAAGAAGACCTGTTTCACAGGGTTGCTGGAAGGACTGACGGGTGTTGCTCTCAATGCACCATGAACATAAATGTTTAATAAATGCTAGGTCACTAGGCCCAGGTCCTTGACCCATGATTCTCTTGGAGACAAGAAAGAAAAAGAGATGACT